ATGGGCGGTAGAGTTCCGCACCGGCAAAACAGCGTTTCTCTATGCTACGACATTCTCCGATTGGATGATCCCGTGGATTTTGTGGTATAAATAAACAAAAACTTGAATGTCACGAAACAATTTCAGCAATTGTGCTGTTTTCTTCTGTGCCAAACAGGTTGTTATGGTGGAACACGTTTATTGGTCAACGTTTCGACAAATCGTCGTCTTCAGGACCTGAAACTGGTTCGAAGTCCTAGCTCTGTAGCTCACCCGGTAAAGCGCCTAATCTTGCTGAGTTCTAACGCAAAATAATACAAAATAGACGATACCAGCGAACGAACTAACCTGTTGTGGATCCACCAGTTTCTAGCAGCCTCCTCGTGTCAGTGAGCGAATAAAATGAGACACTATTGGACAGTCAGCGTCCTACGTGTCGTATGTGGTGATCTTATAGTCCACATAAAGGAATGAAAGGCAAGAATTCATTGGTAATGGCCATGCATTCATTCCGGTTGTTCAGTCTTGGATTTTTCACGCGGATATATAAACGCCTCTAACATTTTTCTAGCACCGATGTCGCTTTTCATGAGCTAGAATTTTGCATTTGATTTCAAAATCATTACCCTGATGTCCTTCTACTCGGTGCTTGCCAAGTGGAGTAAGCAGATTTCCGCGCCTTTTTCCTGCCATATGTTCTTTAATGCGTACGCCTAACATCCTGCCCGTCTCTCCAATATAAAGTTCGTCACAGGTTGAACATTGAAGTTGGTATACTATCCCTCGTTGCGCACAGTCTCCTTGCCTTCCATATGGGCAAACAACGCAGTTATCGTGTGCACGCGCGGTCATAGAGTCTATTGCGGATTAGCCGACGTTTGATATTGTCTCCTGGTATATTAAAGCCACGAGTCAGGCTCAGTGGACCAAACCAATCACTTTAGTCGTCTATGTGCATGGCTACGCACCCACAGGGACGTTGCCATGCTCAGAATCTCAAAAGGCGCCGTAATAACGCCCCAGGGCATGCATTAAGCGCTCGCGCCGCCTGGAGGCGCTCCGGCCGCCCACCATGGGATGTGGTGCGTGGCTGGCCTAACGTGTGAGATCAGCTGAGTTGATTGCCGTATCAACCGATGGAACGGCTGGCATATCCAGAAAACTCGTTTGGACGTGACTCTCCCCGAGCAAATCTCCTTCACTGCTAGAAGGAATGGGTTTCTATTTAGGTGTTGTCGACAGTTTTTTTTTTTTTTTCTTCACTATCGTTCCACCTCCCATCTCTAAACTCAATATCAGGTGCCATAATGCCGAAACACGAGCCTGACTTTTGCCTTTAATCAAGCTACGTCATCAGCTAGGTCCGCTCGTGCAATGCACTGTCGAATAGCCATGCTAATTCTATCCGATATGAAAGGCAGTTGGAGGTGCGCCATCTCTTCGCGACTTCTCGCGGAATGCCCTCGTGCACCTTCGGATAACTGCGTTGTTTGCCCATATGGAAGGCAAGGAGACTGTGCGAAACGAGGGATAGTATACCAACTTCAATGTTCAACCTGTGACGAACTTTATATTGGAGAGACGGGCAGGATGTTGGCGTACGTGTTAAAGAACATATGGCTGGAAAAAGGCGCGGAAATCTTCTTACTCCTCTTGGCAAGCACCGAGCAGAAGAACATCAGGGTAGTGATTTTGAAATAAAATGCAAAATTCTAGCTCATGAAAGCGACATCGGTGCTAGAAAAATGTTAGAGGCGCTATATATCCGCGTTAAAAATCCGAGACTGAACAACCGGAATGAATGCATGGCCATTACCAATGAATTCTTGCCTTTCATTCCTTTATGTGGACTGTAAGATCACCACATACGACACGTAGGACGCTGACTGTCCAATGGTGTCTCATTTTATTTGCTCACTAACACGAGGAGGCTGCTAGAAACTGGTGGATCCACAACAGGTTAGTTCGTTCGCTGGGATCGTCTATTTTGTATTATTTTGCGTTAGAACTCAGCAAGATTAGGCGCTTTACCGGGTGAGCTACAGAGCTAGGACTTCGAACCAGTTTCAGGTCCTGAAGACGACGATTTGTCGAAACGTTGACCAATAAACGTGTTCCACCATAACAACCTGTATGGCACAGAAGAAAACAGCACAATATTCAAAATGCCCAGGTTCCAGGAAAACCGATCATGGAATTTCAGCAATCTTCAATGCGTAAAGGTTATCTAAGCGATTCACCCACTTAGTTCTTCATTCATCAGTGAAAGGTTTTATATGATGGTGACCTGTTGACAGAAATTGTATTGTAGTAAACACATTTCGTAACTCTTACAACCTAAGGAACAGCTTCATTTGCCCAGGGCTTTCCTTCACGGTTGTCGTTTTTGCGACAGCGTCCCTAACAACAGTGTCATTCTCAGCGAGGTATTAAGGGAGAAGGAGCGAGCGGTAGATAGAGGAGGTGCCTTTGCAGCGCGTGTGCACATGTGGCCCCGTTCCTTGCGGGATGCACTTTCATTCTTTGTACTGCTTTCAAATACGCCTTCTCATAAAGGTAGAGGAATGGAGCGACTGAACCTGCAATTTTATATCATGTTTTCACATATCTTCGTTTTCTGCTGCGCTACACCCTCTTACTCCTATCTGCACCACGATGCCACTGATGTTACTGATCCTGACAAATACGACACCCCTGCCGAAGTCTTCCTTAAACGATAACCCTGGTTGTGAGCTAGTAGGGCTCAGACTTGCCTCTTCTAGTAAGAAATTATCTATGACATGTGACTCATCAGTTGAGCCGTATTTATCTTACCAGTTTAGCTCCGCACGCAACCGCGCGCATCAAATGGTGGGCTTTAGTGAAACTGGACAACTTGCAGAATATTAGGTCACGTGACTGAGAAACTAACAGTAAGATGTTTGGAAGATGTGTCACATGAAGTTTCAAAGGCTGTCCAATTTTGCTGAAGATTGTCGCGTAATGCGCGCAGTAGCATGCGGAATGAAATGGTACTTATCATGACTTCGTAAACATTTAGCATTGATATCGAGCTCGGGCGATTCAGCTGTTTATAGAAT